CTTGACCACACTCTGATTTTGCTTGGCTGCATGTGCCCTGGTTTTCATCTGTGATATGTTCAAGGGCATGTAGTTATAAACCCCTCCATGCCTAGCTAAAACAGTAAACTAGGCAGGTATCCAAAAGCAACTCTTTTGGTGGCAAGTGGTATGCTGGCCACAAGAGGTAGGGACAAGCTTCCTTCTCTTTCAGGAAGGCATAATCTGTTGCAGGCTGTTTGTTGGCAGTAGGAAGGGCTATAGCAGACAGAGTTTGAGCCCAAAACAGGAACCTCTCTTTCTCTTGCCAAGATCCCTCCTTCTCTCTGTGCAATAGAGGTTGGATAAGCAAAACCCTCCAGATGTTCCTGAACCATGACTCTCACTATTCTCCTGGCTAGGACACTGGGAGTTGCAGTCCATCAGGATCCAAAGAGCCACCTCTTCATAGGCTGCGCCCTGGCTGGAGCAACATGAATTGTTGGCCATCAGTGTGACTTGCATCCTTCCCCCCCCCCAAAAAAAACCCCCAACAACAATCACAATTGGATGTTAGTTAACTGAGTCATAAATCAGATAAAACTGCATATAAATTCATATAAGGAGAAAAAACAATTAGGCTGAAAAAGAGGCCACATGTTTGGTTTTTATATGGTCCATGCACATCTTGTAGAATATGTCATTTTAGAAGAGGCCTCTCCTTCCTCACAAAGGCATCTAGAAGAGGCATTTTCCTGTCTCTTGCACTTATTCCCTTAAAGCTCTGTTACCTACAGAGAGAATTCTGGAGGAAATATAGAGAGGATTTCAGGGTGGATGAGAGATTTGAAAGCAAAGGGGGGCAGAAAGGCCCAGGTAGATCGAAGGAATCGGCAAAAGAGAGAAGAACACTAAATGCCTTAGCGGTTGTAGAAGAAGAGAAAAGAAACGCAGATAGTGATAAGAAGGGAGCAAAACCAAAGAGGAAAAACATGGAGGACAAAAAAGGATGAACCTAGAAACTCCGGATAGAGTTGTAGAGAGATGAGATAAGAGCGATATAGAAGATAAGAATATGAAAGAAGATAATCAGGGATTAGGGAGTACGGAATGTACTGTTGCCCAGGAGCCTGTGGACTTAGAGGGCAAGGAACAAGGTGATTATTCTGGTTCTGAGGGGTATACTGATGAGGAAGGGGAAGGTGAGGAAGAAGAGCTCACTTAAGCAATGAGTAGCTTAAGGAAATTTATCTCTTGGAACGTAAAAGGTCTCAACAGTCAGGCTAAAAGAAATCATGTTTTTCACTATCTGTTGAAATTGAAAGCTGGTGTTATATGTCTTCAGGAGACAAAAATTAAAATCACGGACTCGAAATATCTTAAAAGTGTAAGGTTGGGTAAAGAATTTATAGCAGGTACAAACAAAAAGAAAAAGGGGTAGTTCTATATGTTAGAGAAGGTCTTGAACCCATTGAAGTATTAAAAGATCCCTCAGGCCATTTCATTGCTGTGGAACTGTATTGGAATAAGGTGAGACTTGTTATTTTAGGGTTGTATGCACCTAATGATAATAAAGGGAAATTTTATGCTAATCTCCTGTTAAAGATTGAGGAGTTAAATGTAGAAAATTTGATTGTACTGGGAGATTTCAATGGAGTTATTGAACCCCAAGTGGACAGGAGTTCAATTAAGAAAATTAAACATAACCAGGGTAAGTTGCCTAAATAATTTTTTGAATTTATGAATTGCTATGGCTTAATAGATGTCTGGAGAGCTAAAAATGCTAAAGGCAGGGATTTCACCTTTTTTTTCTGATCGACATAAGTCATGGGCACGGATCGACATGTTTTTGGTTACGAAAAACATCGCCCCAAGGATTTTTAAGATGGATATCCTATCTAAAATAACATCGGATCACTATCCGATTACAATGGAATTTAGAACAACGCCCAGAGAACCTAGCTGGAGACTGAATGCTTATTTACTTAAGGATAAACAGATACTTAAAGATGTAAAAAGGCAATTAGAGTATTACTTTACTGAAAATAACCAGTCAGAACTTTCTCCAGGTATTATATGGGAAGCCTCGAAAGCAGTTATGCGAGGGATCTTTATACAGAAGGGTTCTGAATGCAAAAAGAAAAGGGATGAAAAGTTTATTGAAACACAATTACAATTGAAAAAGAAAGAAGAAATGCTTAAAAAAACCCTCATGATAGTGATTTGTTTAATCAAATTAAAAGCTTAGAAGGAAGGATGCCATTGTTGATAACGGAAGAATTAGCCAAGAAAATGAAATTTGCCAGGCAAAAAATGTTTGAGGGGTTAAATAAACCAGGTAAGATGTTGTCACATTTATTAAGACAACAAAAAATTAAAAAAATGATATACCAGTTAAAGGCGGGGGATAGACTAATTTCAGATCAGGAACAGCTTCTACAAATCTGTTGGAAATTCTATTCTGATTTATATAAAAAGGATAGTATAGAGTTAAAGCATTTGGAAAAATACATTGAGAATAGTGATATTCCAACTTTTTCAGATACACAGAGAGAAAATCTGAATAGGAGAATTACTGCACAGGCAATAGCAGAGGCCATTCAGAAATGTAAAATTGATAAAGCAGCAGGACCAGATAGTTTCCCAGTGGAGTACTATAAAGCGTTTAAAGAACAGTTGATAATACCTTTGGAAAGGGTCTTGAATGCGGAGTTGGAAAAATGTCCAAGATCATGGACTGAAGCCACAATCTGCTTAATCCCCAAGGAAGGTAAAGATAGAATGGAGATTAAAAATTATCGGCCCATTTCTCTGTTAAATGTGGACTATAAAATATTTGCAATGATTTTGGCTAATAGATTTAAAAAGGTATTAAATGAGTGGATTGGGCCTGATCAGAACGGGTTTCTACCTGGACGAGGTATTAAAGATAATGTGAGACATCTGCTTAATATAATTGAACATCAAGAAAAAGACATTAATCGTAAGTTGGTGTTGATTTTCATAGACTTTGAGAAAGCGTTTGATAGTGTGAGCTGGGAATTTTTGCTGAAATGTTTATATAAGATCAACGTAGGAGACAGGTTTACGCACTGGATTAAGCTTATCTATAATAAACAGACAGCTAAAGTATTAGTAAATGAAGGAAAAACAAGACCTTTTCAAGTGGAAAAAGGGACAAGGCAAGGTTGTCCGCTTGTTCCTGATGATTTTGGAGATACTTAATAACAACATTAGAAGAAATACAGCCATAGAGGGTCTCAAAATAAAGGGGAGGCATCATAAATTATGAGCATACGCAGATGATTTAGTGTTATCATTAACAAATCCAAGCTGTATTGATGAGGCTTTAGATGAGCTAGAAAACTTTGCCTTAGTGGCAGGGTTAAAGATCAACAGAGAGAAAACAGCAATTCTGACCATGAATTTAACAGAAGCAGAGAGGAGAGAAGTTCAGGGGAAATCAGACTTTCAAATTAAAAAGGAAGTGAAATACTTAGGGCTAAATATCACAACCAAGAATGTAGATTTGTTTAAAAACAATTATGAGAGGAAGTAGAGGGAGATTAAGAAGGATTTAGAGAAATGGAAAAATTTGAAAATCTTTGGTTAGGGAAAATATCGGTGATAAAAATTAGCGTTCTCTCAAAAATGCTTTTTCTGTTCCAGAACTTACCTATTATTTTAAATGACAAACCATTTAAAACGTGGCACCATGACCTTTCTAAATTTCTCTGGGGTGGGAAGAAGCCTAGGGTGCAACTAAAGGTTCTTCAAGACAAAGTGGAAAGAGGGGGTCTGCCTATACCCAACTTGAAGTTATACTTTGAAGCATCCTGTTTAATGTGGTTGGTGGATTGATTTAAACTAAGTAACACAGGAGTATTAGATTTAGAAGGTGCGGGTCTAAGGTATGGTTTCCACGCCTACTTATTTTACGATAAAGTTAAGGTTAATAAGGACTTTGTAAATCATTTTGTATGCAAAGCGTTGCTTCAAGTTTGGGTTAAGATATAAAGAAATTTTTTGTAGGAGTATTCCATTGTGGGCCTCGATTAATGAGCTTTTTTTAGGCGTGAAAAATTAGATAAGAACAGATGTGCAACCTACAGGGATATTATTAGGAAAAACTATGAGACAGATGGGTTCAGACTTAAAACTAGAGAGGAACTAAACCTTGAAGGTTATGAATGCAGTTGGTTTTTTTATAGCCAGCTTAGGGAAAGGTTTATGAGGGATAGTAGAGAAAGAGGCTTTGGAGAGGCAGTAAAAGAGCTGGAGAACATTATGAAAGATAAGAAGCGGGAAAAGATTTGATTGTTCTATGATTTGTTGTTAAAATTAGATCAGGAGGATGAATCTGTGAAACAGAATATGATAAGATGGGCTACTGATTTGAAGGAAAATATACCACTCCAGCAATGGGAAACAGTGTGGTCGATAGGCATAAAAACTCCCTTAGTTATGATATAAGGGAAAATTTTCAAAAAATGCAGCACCGCTGGTATTTAACACCAGTAAGGTTGGCAAAGATGCATAAGGGTATGAGTAGTAAGTGTTGGAAATGTCATAAAAAAAAGAGGGTACCTTTATGCATTTATGGTGGCATTGTAAATTTGCAAAAAAAATTTGGAGTAAGGTACACAAAATAGTCAATCAGGTTATTAATGTCAAGGTGGACTTTGACCCAAAGTTCTATTTGTTA